GTGCAGATCACAACAATTTTATGATTAAGCATGCAAATTAAAAATAGTAAAATATGAATTTCCGGTCAACCATTTAGAACTTCTTTTCTACTTGCCCCCTTTTTTTCTGTCCTGTTATTTATCTACATATACACAAGATCACAGGTACCATCAAACTTCTTTTTTAAATTACCTGGTTACTAAGTAAAGTAGGTCAAAAAGCATGGCCACCAGGCATAATTAAAACTTATTATCTGTATATATATATACATTATAAAATGTATAGATAACTGTAGACCAACTAATCAAAACACAATAATGGTTTATGTCGATAAAAGTGTTATGTGATCATTTAAAGTGTTATTCTAAATTTTTTACTTGTGCACAACTTATTAACTGTAAAAAAAATCTTCATAGGTTGACCGAAAATACATGTTTTACCTTAAAGAAAAAAACGGAGGAAAGTTTCTTGGTATGTAGTACTTTATTTATTGATACCCGCCTCAAAAATACATTTAGTTGTAAACAATTTGTAGAGTTTTTTCATTCGTTCAGTTATGATATTACTATTAGTTTGAAACCTCTCAGATTGATAGTAATTTCTATGCAATTTCTAAAATGTTACTTTGTCTGTTTCTCAGACTACCTACAGAACGGATAAGATAATTGAAATGATGAATCATCTTTAGGCAGAACTTTATATTACTGTAGGTTGTTTAAACCTCTCACATTCAGTAATTTCCAAAATGTTATTTTGTCTGTTTCTCAGACATGGTCACAACCTACAGAATTGAAAAATAATTAAAGTCATTCATCATCTTTAGGCAGAGGTGGGTTAACTGGATAGCTAGGCGGAAGAGGGGGGTACACACTTTCCATATCTCTAGGTAGAGGAGGAGACGTACTGTCCTGCTCACTGGTAATTGTGGATGATGGTTCTACAAATCCGATGCTGGTGGTACTGAACGATTGACGGTATGGTGACCAGGGCGTGTAATTCCCGTACATCCCAATCTGACCTGGGGGCCACATCGGCATAACAGAGCGTGGGCCTGGACATGGTGGTGTGAAGTTCCAGGCGCCTGATGTCGAAATAACTGGAAGAGGGCTTGGTGACGTGGGGGTTGATATAACGGGAAATAGTCCCGGGGCCCACGCTGATGTTTCGGAGGGATACGAGGACTTCATTGGAAGATTCCACGTCCGAGGAAATGTTGATCCAGACCCAGACGGAACTGAATTTTCCGACAAATAAAATTCACTTTCTTTTTCATTAAACCCACATTTAACAGATATTTTATCATTTCCTGTAGCAATCAACTTTTCCATAGAATGTCGAGTAATTATTTCCGGTATTTTTCCACCTGTGGCCGTTTTGATCAGACGTAAATCTCTCTGCAATACCTGTGTGCCATCTTTGTTTGCGTACTTTTTGGGGAACATCGCCTTTAACCTCGGGCGCATGGTTCCGATAAAGCTTGAAGCATTTTGTGCCAAGAACGTCCTCATCGTGTGCAACTGTGTGCTTTCATCTTTCAGCGATTTTTCCAACGCTGTGATCTCCTTTTCAAGCTGCCAATGAGAAAAACAAAACACGAATTATTTCACTAAATTACAGATTTTTTTTCCAGAACTGAATGCATCCTTACCAATAATTATGTAAATCTTTAGACATTTACCCGATCTTGTACTGTTCCAGACCCTATAAAACACGCATTAAAAAAGATAACACCATAAAATCTATTTAAAAACCGGCGAAAATAAACAAACCCAAAATAAGCATGCAACATGAAGAATTGTTGTTGATTAAAAGCCGTATTTATCTACAATATATTCCAAACTAAATTAATTTCTAAATTCAGAACGAGTAATCTAAATCATAACTCACGTTTTTAACATTACGGTAATTAATACTTGAAAGAATTAAATATAAAGGAAATCTAATGACATTACAGAGACAGCGTATTGTGATATTTTAATTTAATTCAATTTTGACAAAGACCGCTCAGAAGAAGTTCAGATTTCAGATAATTTGTTTATAAAACTATAACAAAATCTCGAGCCGAAGTTTACACATTTTCCGGCACAATTTGATATTTAGTTGTTGGTTATTTATATTACATATTGCTGTGTAAACCAGCTGCAACGAAAATATATGTAAAATGTTTCTGATTTAATAATTGAAATACAATTACTAACATACTAATTTACATTGGTGTAGTCTGTATATTTGCAGGCAGCTTTACAACTTAAATTTGTGTAAAATACAATTTTGTACATTAACATGCTTAGTTGCCAGCCTTCTCACGGCGAGAAATGCGCATGCAAATACATCGTAAAATACACGGTCACATGTGTAAATCTGTTCGTTTATAACGAATTTGCAAAAAAAAATAGATCGGAAACTGTACGTTTCATAGACAAATTTCTGACACTTGTGAAAATATGAAATGCATACATGTATATATATTACATAATTGGAAGTGTGTTTACCAACCTCGCCAAGTTCAGCCTTGAAATCTTTATGTTTGCTCAACAATCCACAATAGTAGTAGCCGTCACACGCCATGTAAGGACACGCTTTGTTGCCACGATTCCCTGCTGCCCGATGACCTTGGTGATGACAATTATCGCAGACCACTTTTATCACACAACATCCGGGTATGGAGAGAGGCTTCGGAAGAACTGGACACAACTTCTTTGTTTTTAGTTCATCTTTTTTTTCTGTTATAATCAAAGTTATTGATTTTTGATTTTCCGTTAAACGTTCTATTTCCTGACAGATAAACCCGCTATTTTTGTCAGTTTGTGTATTTGTAGGCATGTCATTATTCTCCGACAACTCACAATCGGGGAATAATCTCTTACCACCTCTCTTTTGGTGGTCAACACCCCGCTCCTCCCGACAGAAAGGGCTTGTCTTTGCCTTCATAGTTTTTTTAGTTTCCGGGGTCTGCAAACTCAAAATCCGTTCAGTTAACATCCGCTTATACACATCAGGTATACTCATTTCAGACACCTCACGCGGACGTAAATATTTCAGGGTCCGTTCGTTCGTAACACTTCTCATATATAGCTCCTGCTTATAGGTCAATAATCCAGGGTCTAGCGACTCAATAAAATCGTCCATTTCGGGAGATCTGGAAGCCATGCTGATTTATCAGTCTCACGTTACAGATCATGAATGTTAGACCGAACTCATGTACACACAGTTGTGTAGGATGGCGCGAAAACAATCAGTGCCCCGCCTACATTGACCTGAATCAGGAACAGCCAATTAACGGCACTCGTCGACTCTCTTTGATCATCACTTGGTTCCAAACCAATTAAGGGGTGACACTGAGTGTCGACTTTACCTTCAGAGAGAGTTGTCAACTGATATCGTTTACACTTGCATTGCGCTCACAGTAATATACTCACCATTGATAAACTCACCATTGATAGACTTACCATTAAAATACTCACCATTGATACACTTACCATTGATAGACTCACTATTGATAGACCTACCATTGACATACTTACCATTGATATACTTACAATTGATTGACTTTTCATAAATTGACTTTCCATGAATTAACTTACCATGAATTGACTTACCATTGATAGTTTTGCAATATGATTGTCATTTATAGGCCAGAAGCAAACTGGGATTAAGGGCAACCACGTTTGATCAAATAAATGACCTTCACCTATTTTCAAGGTCCAAGGGGTCAAATATGTTAAAAACTGTAAACAACTTCTTCTGGATAACCAAACTGCCCAGGGTGATGATATTTGGCCAGTAGGATGCTGGGATGAAGGGCTACCAAGTTTGTTCAAATTAATGACTTTCATCTTTTTTCAAGGTCACAGGGGTCAATTGTCTTAAAAAATCTTTTAAACAAATTCTTCTGAATAACTTAGAAGCCTAGGATAATGATATTTGGCCAGTAACATGCTAGGATCAAGGGCTACTAAGTTTGTTCAAATGAATGACCTTTACCAATATTCAAGGTCACAGGGGTCAAATATGTTAAAAACCTTTAAACAACCTCTGCTCAATAACCAAGAGGCCTAGGATGATGTTATTTGACCAGTAGCATGCTGTATTAGAGGGCTACCAAGTTTGTTCAAAACAAATTACCTTTACTGATATTCAAGGTCACAAGGGTTGAATATGTTTAAAACCTTTTATCAACTTTGAATAACCAAAAGGCCTAGGATAATAATATTTGGTCAGTAATTTGCTAGGATGAAGGGCTACCAAGTTTGTTCAAAGGAATGACCTTGACCCACTTTCAATGTCACATGGGTCAAATGTGTTAAAATCTTCAAATGACTTCTTTTCAGTAACCAAAATACCCAGGGTACTGATATTGGGCCTGTAGTATGCATGGATGAGTGACCTTCATCCATTTTCAAGGTCAAAGGAGTTGATTGTCTTAAAAAAAATCTTTAAACAACTTCTTCTGAATAACATAGAGGCCTAGGATATGGATATTTGACCAGTAACATGCTAGGATCAAGGGCTACTAAGTTTGTTCAAATGAATTACCTTTACCTATATTCAAGGTCACAGGGGTCAAATATGTGTTTACGTTTTAGAAAACGAAAGTAGGAAATGGGTGTTACATGGGTTAACAGCATTATGTTTCGTGAATACATGTCCCGCCGTGCTTCATGCGAATAAAATGTTTGGTTGCAAGAGATTTGTTTGAGTATTTCTGTGATCATATTTTGTGTTACTGTAATTCTCAAACTTGTTAAAAAAACTCCAATGGAAATTTGATTAAATAAAACTTAGAGAGCAGTTCGGAGTAGACTTTACTGACCCAATATAGTCGGTCTCCTGGACATGGCTATATTTAATGGTAAGTAAACCCAAAACGGTGAGATTTCACAATCATTTTCAATGAAATTAATTCAATGTAAATCAGTTTCGTTGTCCACGTTCCCATATGTTGATTAAACATCAATCCCAGACTTTTACCTGGCGGCACCTAAGCTTTGCCCACAGCACAGTTGTAAACATTGTGTGGCCGCGTCGACGGACTTGCAGTCTATGACTAATTTGAGAAAGTATTTTACCGTGTTTCCTTTCCCAATCACTCTCATTAATGCATATTGACAAATTACTTCACAATAGTTATTTATTTTCAAAAGTTATTCAAGCTGATGATAGTTTAGAAGCCGTCGTTTGGTGCTTTGTCTAATCCGACTATTCTAAAAATAGAACTCCCGGGTAATACTAACTACAGCCTCGTAGATTCCGGTAGAGAATTGAACCAAAATGACCCTTTTCGTGATGTCAGATATCTAGATTTCTATTTCATATATGCATGGAACTTTATCATTGGTGTATGCATTCAAATTATGAGACACTATTTATATAATAATAATAATAATATACAACATTTATATAGCGCCCTATATAATTTGTAAAATTACTCTAAGGCGCTTTACAACATATGGATCATAGTAATGGTTATAATTGTGAAAACAAACAACAAAGGCTTGCAATCACTTTCATACATTTAACAAGCAATGTGCACATAATTGAACAAACATAAGGGTTGTATTTACATGACGTCTTTGCAAAGATTCTAAAATGCAGATGTGAAGAGGTGAGTTTTTATGTCCCCCTTGAACTTGGCCTGGGTATTTGACTTCCTAATAGCAGATGGTAAGCTATTCTACAACGTAGCCGAAACCCTCCCAAAGCATCTGTTTCCGTAGATCACAGTATGAGATTTTGGGACACACAACAAAGATTCTGACTCTGACCGCAGTGATCTTGACGGCTGATACTGGGTAACAAGCTCCTGTAGGTACTGAGGAGCTGTTCCATTCAGTGCCTTGTATGTGTATAACAGAATTTTGTACTGCGACCTGTATCGTTCAGGTAACCAGTGCAATGAATAAAGCGCAGGTGTGATGTGCTCTCTCTTTCGAGTATGAGTAACTAGCCGTGCTGCAGTGTTCTGGACCCTCTGCAGACGACTAGTTAGTTTGTCAGATATACCACAGAGCAGGGCGTTACCATAATCCAACCGAGAGGTAACAAGTGAATGCACCAAAATCTTGCATGCATCTGCAGTTAGAAACTGCCGAATACAGCCGATGTTCCTGANATCTGTCAGACAAGCTTCCAGACTTTCTGAGACTGTATTCCAACTGTCCTGTGGTTTTATGACCATGTAAATTTGTGTGTCATCAGCATAGCAATGATAGCGAAGGCTATGGCGACGACAAATCTCTCCAATCGGTTTGGAGTACATACAATATTTTCGTGGTCCTAACACCGACCCTTGAGGTACCCCGAAATCTAGTACTTTGTCATGTGAGGTGGCAGATCCGATGGCAACACACTGTTGTCGTTCACTCAGGTATGACTGTATCCAGCATAGTGCGGTATCAGTCACTCCATAACAGTATTCCAGACATTTATAAAGTATGCCATGGTCGATGACGTCAAATGCAGCTAACATGTCCAGCATGACAAGCACCGCTCTGCACTTGTTATCCAATGCAGAAGCTATATCACTATGTACACATAGGAGGGCCGTCTCAGTAGAGTGTCCCATGCGGTAGGCCGATTGCATGTTGTCATGGAGACTGTTTGCATGGAGATGAACCTCTAAACGCCGGGACACAACCTTCTCCAAGGTCTGAGACAGAAAAGACAGATTTGAAACTGGGCGGTAGTTTTTCAACTCCTCCTTGTCCATTCCAGGCTTTTTTAACAATAGTCTGACATGTGCCTTCTTGAAACATAATGGAACCTTTGACTCAACCAATGATTTGTTCATGATTGTGGTAATCAAAGGAAGCAGTGCTTCAAGACATTATACATCTTGCGGAAATTGTTTATCCTGCCTCTGATAACAGGGACTTATATTAATTGGGTCTGCTATTGCCAATCTTTGGTTTCCTATATATAGCTACAATGTAGAGCTCTATCATTCCATACCAGACAAAGATCTACATTCAAAATATTGCAAATGTAATACAGAAAAAGTGATAATTGTTTATTATTGTTTTGAAATACTATATATTGAATTTTGAAGTACATTTGTTGTTTAAAAAAAACCTAAGAGATCTGATAACTATATGCAGGAACCTTTTTACATGGCATTGTATATAATCAAATGCATCCATTTCTTTTAAGGAATAAGCTTAATGATTGTGTAGACAAAGTTTCAATGTGGTTCCAGTGTTGATGAATGAATTGATTGTGGTTTTAACATTGATGAATAATTGAAAGGTTAGTTAGTCATTGACGGTCACGCTAGTTCATTTTTTTGTAATAAATGGAAGACAATTCTTGGGTGTTGATATAAAAAAAAAAAAAAAAAATACAACCTTATTAACGGACGAATTTGGCATACTGAATTCACCCTTCCCTTCCCAAACCACAACAACAAGAAATACAATAAAAGTAAATTGAAAAAATCTTTCATTTGCCATGTAATGTAAACAGCAATATGAATTGAAAATGAAAAGTCACACAGTTTGTCATGTCTACATTACAAAATTACCGGTAATACAACAATGAGTGGAAATCAGCCCTATTGTCCTATAGTAATCACCCAAACCATGTTAACATGGTAGTTGTGGAGTATCAAGTAGCTCCTTGTTTTTGCCTCAATAATGACATACAGACAGACAGACAGGCATTTTCCTATTATCGTATACGTGCATATGTGTTCAATGTTTTGTCAATTTCTTTTCGACAGTGGCATTTGACTCAGACTTCAGAAAAATTGTAACTTTATTTTGAGAAAACAAAGTGATTTTGCAGTTTTTCAATAGCAGATTTTGGTAAAATACAGCAGAAATTATCTTGGGGGAGGGGGGGGGGGGAAGGGCTATTAAAATTTCAAAACTTTTGAATCAGACTGAGCATGCGCGAAGCTGCCAAGGCGTTTTTTTTTTGCTCCGCTCTCAAAATATTTAAAGATTCCCATTGAAACATAGAATTAATCAACACCGTTGCAGCAAATGTGTTTTGTGTGCCAATTATCAAGGACTAAGACAAGAAACTGAGTACAAAATGTTGAACTTTGAAAATAACGCCAGATTTGAACCTATCAGCGAGTTGTTCACGGAACCACCATTAGCGTTCTTTAGAGAATGTGACTTTTTCGGGGAACAGAGACCGAATCCTTCTGAATTCATAACCCATCTCGAAATGTATACTGCTCTCGCTGAAGTTATAGATCCCACCCATATCATTGGACTGCAAAGAATTAGAGGGTTATGGCGCATCTACGTTGACAACCTAGATAATAAATGTGAACTCCTTTCATCGGGTTTCCCGCTAAGGGGCACACCATGGGCGTCCTTAAAATCAACCCAAACCGTTTTGATAAAGAGAACAC